AACACTTTAGGGATCAGTTCAACTGGCCACGAGCCACTCTTCGGTTACCCACGATCTCCAGTCATCCTGAATGGCAAATCGACCTAAGTCCCCCTAGTCTTAATGAAGTTGAGAAAGCGTTAGGAAATCTGAAACGAGGACGAGCTGCAGGTCCTGATAGACTGACCCCTGAGATATTTAAAGATGGTGGTCCAGTTTTAGCAGCTAGGTTGACTGAGATCTTAGGTAGAATCTGGGAACTGGACGTAATCCCATCCGACTGGTCTCAATCCTTGATTGTCCCAATCTATAAGAAAGGACAGAAGTCTTCTTGTGACAATCACAGGGGAATAAGTCTAACTAACATAGTATCTAAAATATTGGCCTCAATAATACTTCGACGCTTAACGAAAGCTCGTGAAGAGCAGACTAGAGAAAGCCAGGCTGGTTTTCGACCTGGACGTGGCTGTATAGACCACATTTTCACACTACGACAGGTCCTGGAACATAGACATACATTTAGGCGTCCTACAATAGTTGTTTTCCTAGACCTTAAGGCGGCATTTGACTCTGTTGATCGTAAGGTTCTGTGGCAGTGTCTGTCATTGAAAGGTGTACCAAAGAAGTACATTAACCTTATACAAGCTCTTTACTCGAACACCACTGGTCGAGTGAGGGCTTATGGCGAACTGTCACCGGAATTCTCTACATCAAGTGGTGTCCGTCAGGGATGTCCACTTTCTCCATTCTTGTTTAATTTTATCATAGACATGCTCCTAGAGTTAACATTATCCTCGTCTGAATTTTCAGGAGTAGACCTTCTACCAGGTGGCTCGCTTATTGACTTAGAATATGCCGATGACATTGTCCTACTTGGTGAAGACGCTGACAAAATGCAGAGTCTTCTGACTACCCTAAGCAACAATGCAAGCATGTTCGGGATGCGGTTTTCCCCCTCGAAATGCAAAATGTTGCTTCAAGACTGGGTTGCATCGGCACCTGAACTAGTGATAGGGAGTGAAGTAGTCGAACGTGTAGACCGCTTCACTTATCTTGGGAGTCTCATCAGTGCCGATGGCCTGGTGACTGACGAAATCTCAGCACGGATACAGAAGGCTCGATTGGCTTTTGCCAACCTGCGTCACTTATGGCGTAGGCGAGATATCCGTTTGCTGACTAAAGGACGAGTGTACTGCGCAGTAGTTCGCTCCGTCTTACTTTATGGCTGTGAAACATGGCCAATGAGAGTAGAAGATATTCGTAGGTTACTGGTTTTCGATCATAGGTGTCTTCGAAGCATTGCTCGTATATCGTGGGACACCCGAGTGAGCAACGCTGTTATTAGGAAACGGGTGCTAGGTAAGAATGGCAGATCAATCGATGAAGTATTGAAACTTCACCAGTTGAGGTGGTTGGGACATGTGTTGCGTATGCCCAACCACCGACTGCCTCGACGAGCCTTGTTTTGTATTGTGGGAATAGGTTGGAAGAAAGTTAGGGGCGGCCAAACCAAAACATGGCAGAAATCCATGAAGTCATTGACTAGTGGACTGAGCCATGTCGGTAATTGTCGACTACCTGGTTGGGGTCTACGAGATGATAATAATCGATGGTTAGAGACCTTGAATGACATGGCTCAGAATCGTTCGCAATGGCGCCGGTGCATTTATTCTCTGTGTTCTCTCAAATGCTAATCTTCTGGATTCTTCGACCCCTCTAGTTTCGACTCTCTAAACTTTTCTCACTGTATCATACTTCTTGAATAGTATCTTCTAATCCTAACCTCCGATTATTTCTAATTCCCTTACTACCTCTTCTACTATTGGATTTGAATTGACGATTACTTCTCTGTGCTGATGTGGTATGGCAACATGAACTGATGTACTTATGTACAAAGTTCTACGTTGCATCTGACTGACTGCTATACCTACACCAGCGAGACCCCTGGAAGCAGCATCAGGGCTACCGGATACACGAAGAGTAAGTCGGGCTGCTTCTTTGTTTTGGCAAGGCGAAATCAGATTATTGACTTTACTAGGATCGTGTATGCGCGTTTCCGAGACGCAGCATACATCAATTGAGCGGGATTCTAATGTTCTAGCTAAGGAAGTCTGTTGCCCTATTTGACATAATTTACGTACATTAAATGCTCCAACATGTAGTCTAGAGCGGGGTTTCAGGAGACCAGAAATAACGTTTCGTGAGCTCGCATCGTTTGCATTAGCTGTGCAGTGTGATAAAGGAATGTGAGAAGAGTTAGTCGTGGAGATAAGAGAGGTATGTGTGGGTGTAGGAAGGATTTGATTTTGACCAATTTGGTCTCGTGTGTTGTTATGGGTATGAGGGCGGTTGTCACTTCCCGGCTGCCCACACCGTGGAAGGTTGTTTCTTGAGGGACCTGAAGAGGAAGATAGATTAGCGTCGGTCTTGGAGACCTGGGAGCGTGACCGCAGAGCCCAAGGGACAACTGCTTGAGGCTGGTCACGCATGGCCTGTTTACGAGAATCTTTTTGAGAATTAGCTCCGCTCTTGAAAGCCCTTAGTGGGCACCCTTACCGATGAAGACGGAAATCCGTGAGGTAGGGTGAGGTGTGACATGTTTAGGGTCGACCTTTTCTAACTCTTCCTTCCTTGTGAGAAGGCAGAATCGCTGCACATGCTGGTTGTCCGAGGGAAACACCTTACTGCTGTCACACTCCTCTGCAGTCAGCAGTACGACTTCGCCCTCAGACCTTGGGTAGCTGTTTTTAGTCTCATCGTTCTCCGGTCGACCTGCCTGGCATGGTAGAACCTTCAGGAACATATGTTCCAGCCAGTATAGCTCGGCTGGGTCATCACGATAGTCAAGCCCGACCACCACGTCAAGGTAGCAGCTACGGTCGGGTACTCGAATTGTCATCGGAACTGATTACTTCAAGTGGTATTCTTCAGGGCTATCCACTCTCTCCATTCCTATTCAACTTTGTCATTGACACGCTCTCAGAAACGGCACTTTCGTCGTCTAACTTTTCAGAAATTGCCATTCAACTAGGATACTCGCTTGTTGATGTACAAATATACCGATGACGTAGTGCTGTGAAGACTGACAAATTGCAGTCTTCTGACCACCCGAAGCAACAATGCAAGCATGTTCAGGATGTGATTCTTCCAGTTGAAACGCAAAAGGTTGCTTCAGGATTGGCTTGCATCGGCACCTGAATTAGTGATCGGGAGTGAAACAGTAGCTTATTGACCGCTTCACTTATCTTGGAATTCTTATCAGCGCTGATGGCCTGGTGTGTGACGAAATCTCTGTACGGTTACAGAAGGCTCTACTAGCTTTTACCGACTTGTGTCATTTATGGCATAAGCAAGCTATCCATCTACCAACTAAAGGACGGATTTACTTCGCAGCAGTTTGCTCCATCCTACTTTATGGCTTTGGAACATGGTCATTAAGAGTAAAGGATATTCGTAGGTTACTAGTATTCGCTCGTAGGCGTCTTCGAAGCATTGCTCATACAACCTGGAACAATGGAGTAGGCAATGCTTTTGTTGGGAAAAGGGTACTAGTTAAAGATGGCAAATCAATTGATGCAGTACTGCATCTTCATCAGTTAAGATGGTTGGAACAAGTGATACGTATGCCCAACCACTGACTGCCTCGACGAGCTATGTTTTGTGGTGTAGGAGTAGGTTGGAACAAAGCTACGGGGGCCAGATCAAAACATGACACAAATCCATGAAGTCAGTGACAACTAGTGTGAGCCATGTTGGTAGATGTAGACTGCCTGGTTGGGGTTTGCGAGACGATAGTAACCGATGGTCAGGGACTTTGAATGACATGGCTCAAAGTCGTTTGCGATTGCGCAGATACATTCCTTCTTTGTCTTCTCTCGTGAACTCAGGACCTTTTTTATCCCCTTTAAATTAATTTCACTGGATTATACTTCTTGAATAATTTATTGGAACCCTAATCATTTCCATTACCACCTATACTTCTACTACTTCAACTGCTATGTAATTCGATCTCCATGCTAATGTAGTATGTCAGCCTAAGCCGTTGTACATACGTACGAAGTTTTACTTTGTAGTTTACTGGCTGATTGTGTTGTTCTGATTTTGGTTCAGTTAGCGAATAGTCAGTCAATTTCCCAATTACACAAACCAGTTAGAAATTTGGTATTAGTGTACCAAACGTATCTATCTTTTTTATTGATTGATAAATGTAAGTATATGTTCCTCAATGCTTACTGCTCGTTTTTTAGAATCACGTTTTCTAAACAGTGTTACAATTCGAATAACAATACACTTTGTTTCTATGTACTTAAATGATTCGTAATCTAAATTATGCGGAAAATTAATAAGGCTTTGTAATTCTTCACTGATTCCATTTAGGACTAATCAATCAGTCGCTGTTGTCATATGTCTGTTCTGAATATCACCAATGAGAGATTATGAACCCTTACTAGTACTTTCGTATTCGTCCGACAAGTTAGCAGCCATTTATGATTAGTAGCTCATTAGATAACAGTTTTGCATTGAAGACGAAAGATATTATGTCTAGATATCAGCGTAAACATCAACACTTGAAACACTGATACATCTAGCTGATGAGTCCCAAAGAGGAAGCAACTGGATTCCATTGCCAGCAACACCAGATATACGAAATATTTATAACAAGTCTACCAGGGATACAAATATGGCAATAGGGAATAGTTTATTGCAATCCTAAATATTAACAACAGGAAATCAGAACTTCTCACCAAAACTTTACAAACGTAAAAAGTCGACTAAACTTTTTGTACTGATTTAGAAAGTAAACAGTTCTTCCTGTCGTTTTCGTCATTGGATCTTATACATGTGGTTTTTATATAAATTCGAGAGTATAAAACTTATTTCTTACAGACAAATGTCATTTTAATGTAGATGGAATTATCCATCAGTATTGTCCCTATAACCGAGAAACATCTATACCAAATTCAATGTTGTTCATATGCGTCTATTTATTGACACTTTTGTTTGTCTTACTGTCGTTTTAGCTCATGAAGGAAATAAATGCTCATGTTGGCGAATCATCCTTACTTTCGGATGATAAACTTCCTGAAACAAATAATGCTGTATCTCAAGACTTACCCATTTATTTAACCATTTTACATAATCGCATAAAGCATCGTCTGGTTTTCCAATCGTCTACAACCATTGCTGAAGTTAAACAGTCTTTAGAACCTTTAACACACGTTCCTGTAGATATGCAAAAGTTAATATTTCGCGGAATATTGTCAGACAATACTACTCTTGGAGAGTTGTCACTACCCGGTAAGGATGCTAAGTTAATGCTAGTCGGTACAAAACCTTCTGAAGCGGAACAAGTTCGTTTATCTGAAGCAAATAGCACTGCTAATGAAGAACTGTCGAATGATTGTCAATCGGATGTTACGATGGACTGGTCTGACCAGACTGAACATAAACAAGTTTTAGAACGTTACGGAAAACCAGAGAATGCTATGGTCGGAATATTAAATACAGAAGAAGTTTTAGATCCTAATGAATGTTTACTTGGACTTTGTGACAAACGTGGGCAACCATTGAGGTTAAGAATTAAACCAGATAGCGCAGAATTATGGTTAGCTACAAAGGATATAACTCATAAATTTCCTTTAGCCACTATCCATGATGTAGTCAGTCAACCTATAAAAGGTCATCCGGAATATCATATCATGGCTTTCCAGTTGGGTCCCACTCCAAAATCTCGTTATTTTGTATATTGGTTACCATCTCAGTATGTGGAGTCAATCAAGACAATGGTGTTACAGTACAAAATAATTACTTCATTAAGTGGTACAACCAGAACTAATAAACCACTTTGAAATTGATCACTGATTATACCTTGTAAACAAACAAGCGTTGCACTGATTTCAACGAACAAAGCTAATATCATCGGCTTGAATATTTTCAATCTGTGCATTATCTTCATTTTCCCCAAGATTCTCTAGATATTGTTAAGGCTTTATTTTTCATCCGCTTCAGAAGTTCTTCACTATTATTTAAACTGTTTTGTTTTGCATAAAACCACTGTATTAATGTGAATAGATCAATAAATTATGTACAATGCTTTACAATGTTCTACGTTAGTTTTTGAGCGTTTTTTTAGCAACTTAGTTGACCAAAAGATTGGGTCGCTAACGCCATACCCAATCCTCTTGCTTTATCCGGACTTGGGACCGGCAGTAACCTCAAAGGGGCCCAAGCGGAGTTAATTTTTTACGTAGTTGTTATGTCAACATATGTAACTACTTTGCCCAAAAGAGGTTTTTCAAAACGTTTTTATGTATTTAAATAAACATTCAGGTAGAGTAGTATCAGCAGTGGTAGTATGCTTTATTGTTATTATTGTTTGAATTTCATCCAGCCACGTTCAGTTAGAAAGTCACTCATTAGAAAGCGTGATTTGCCTTATTATTATCTTGGATTTCAGGGATAATCTGGTTTCACTACCGATCTATCGAGTAATTGACAAAAGACTTAGTTTATAACTCTTCAGTTCGTGTTTGCCGATGAGATTCAGCTCATTACAAATGATTGTTTTCTTTCATCGTCATGGATTTATGTCGTGTTCCTGGAAATCGTTATTGACCGCGTTTGTCAATTTTATTAACGCCATCCTAGGTAATCGGTACTCAGATTCGTTATGTCTTTGAGGATTATGAGTAGCGTTGACAAATGATGAGCCTACCTGGAAAAATTTGGGGAAAGAAATAATTCGGAAATAGAATTGTGAGTTTCTAAGATAGTATATAGTCAATAAAGAATCAGCTATCAAGATTCTGTATCTCTTATGTTAGGATTCCCTGTAAATGCAGTTATAGCACGATATTAGAAAGTTCGAGATCAATTCTGTTACAGGTTTGAACCCTGCTGCAACTACTTTGATTTGGGCAGTTAGTTATTATCACTAGCTCTAATAAAAAAAGCACCAAGTGTAGCTCAACTTCGTATACCACGTTCATAGTAAATGTAACAAAAAGTATGTGATCTAGTCAGCAAAAATATAGTGGAGCAATCAGTTGTTTTCTATTTATTATTTTGTGGAATTTTCATTATTTAAATCACAACCTAATCCTAGCTAGACTATGGAAACCATGAAGCACTGGACAAGTGTCTCATCCTAGTATAGGACTACAAAAGCATTACGCACCCACAACCTCACCACAGGGAATTTGACCGAGGGTCTTTCGTTTCGCACATGAATGATTAGTTTCTCAACCACTAATTCTGAGTCCTATGGTGTGTTTGTTTGACTTCAATCACTTTACTATGTTGCGCGAATATCTTTCATTGGCTGTGGTGAATAAGTCTCAACCGAACACTTCATGATTTAAACAATTGATTATTGGCGATCTGTTATATTTTCTCGAAAAAATAACGTCATTTACGACTCCTGTTCAACCTGATAATTTTACAGTCGAAAGGTTTCAATTTATCAATAAGGCAAGTGAATCTGATTTCATTTCACATGGTTCTAACCCAACTTTTGTCATAGTAGTAGATTGATTTGTTTAGATTCAAACATCAGTCAAAATGAGCATCAAAATGTTTGTTTCACTCAATTCATTGAATTTGTATGTAAGCTGAAATACTACCCAGGTGCCTAAACAGAAGCAGATGGTTTCCTTAAAGAGCGATTCCTCGAGCTTTTGATCTACGGGTCTAATCCACAAGGCAATGGAATAAATTTAGGTAAGGCTGTCTCGTGGTACTCTGTGACCAACAATGGGTTCCTTGAGGATGCTGGAGCGTATGTGTACCATTGATTTTGAATTAAGGTTTTCAAACTCTTCTAGGTGGGTCTTCCGTACTCACCAACCCATTTTAAGCCCCACCGGACATTCAAACTATAGAACTATAAGTACCGCTCGTTTAAAAGTATTATCTTAATATTATAATCACTTACGATACTAGTTTATTCTTTTCTGAGTACGAGATTAACATAATCGTTTGGTGAATATTCCATTGCATGCATGACTTTTCCAGTTCTTTCATTAAATGACTTCGTCACGCAATCTTTTTAACTCTTCTAATTCAGTAATCTTATCTCAAATTAACTTAGTTTTACTCATTATTCTTATCATCAGCGTTCATTGACCTTTCGTTACTGTTGGTGTTTTCTTACATGTCATACATTCACAATATATTAGTTAGTCTCCCAACTTTATTTGAGTCTCTACCCCATTATGGTGATATGCGTTAATGTTTACTTCCAACTAAATTTATTCCTGTATGATCAATACATATGGATTAATCGAACCTAATAAAAAATAAACTAAGCGTTACTTACGCCTGTTACCCTCAATGGAGCATAGGTCGCTAACCAGCATTCTCCAACCTACTTTGTCCTAGGCCTTCCTTCCTAGTTCTGACTAATCGTTGTTCATTCTTCGCATGTCTGATTCCATTTCTTGGAGTAATGTGTTTTTGGTCTTCTTCTTTACCTTTGACCTTAAGGGTTCCAAGTGAGTACTTTCTTATGACGCAGTTAGATGTTTTCTTCATTGTGTATCCTATCCACTTCCAGCGCTCCTTCCTCCTCTGGAATCTGGTTTATTCTCTCCCACAGTAGGTTGTTACTGATAGTGTCTGGCCAACGGATCTGGAGTACCTTGAGTGGATAACTGTTAATGAACACTTGTATCTTCTGGATGATGACTTTCGTAGCTCTCCAAGTTTCTGTTCCGTACAGTTGAAATATCTTCACATTTGTATTGAAACTTCTGAGTGGTTTTGGTTGATCGTTAGTTTGAGTTCCAGATATTCTTCAATTGTAGAAATGCTATCCTTGCTTCTTCGATCCGTGTCTTCACATCTGCATCACGTCCACCTTGCTCATCAATGAGGCTGCTTATGTATGTAAAGGTTTTTAAATCTTCCAGAGCTTCTCCGTCAAGTGTAATTTGGTTGATGCTACGTACCTAAACTAATGGTTGCTTTGGTTTTCAGAAGAGGCATCGGCCTCGTGATTTCCGGAGGAACTTGGCATTCATCATGAGACTTCATAACTCTTCTAAATGAAGACCTTCCAACTCTCAGGGCAGAGGTTAAATGGTTTGAATTATGTTCTCTGGTTGGCGTTTTTTTATCGAGTTAGTCTTCTACGGGATGGGGTCGCTAACCTCCATTCCCAACCCTCCTCCTTTATCCGGGCTTGGGACCGGCAGTAGCCCGAGAGGGGGCTCGAGCGGAGTTAAACTAAGATTTCGAAACTATTACTCATATTCGCTAGTTGAGTTATTGCTGAATACATCGGAAACGAATTTCAAAAGCCAGCAAAGGGATATTGTTTGAAGCAGTTCTGAGAGTAGTAGTAGTCACCCTTTGTTTACTAACAACTCAAACCATAAACCATCTCATTAGATCTCTTCTGCTCACGTCCATCAATTTAATTTTTTCTATGGATTTACATATATTGGTTGTTCGATGCCCCCGTTGTCCAGGAGAGCTCAAAAATTCTATCACTCCTGGCTAAGGAACGATATCAGTGGTTGTATCAGAAGCGTGATAATAGGTTATTCTGTTTTCACTGGTGTTCCAATCAAAATAAATTTACTATTTAAAGTCCTCTATAATCTAAGCAGAAAATGTAAGCTCCCCACCGTATACATAAACCAGAATTATACGCACAGAATGAGCTTGATTGACCTCATATCATATGATATAGTTGTCCTGTAAATTTTTATTAATTCAAACTCATTTTATTCTATTGATTTTTATTTTATTTATGTTAATTTTTATAGTCCTGTTTTAACTAACTGAGCTTTACTCATTTTATTCTTACTTATTACCAGCGTTTATTCAATTTCTAACCATTCGTTTCCGGCGCTTTAAATGTTTGTAAAATGTTCTTCTGTATAAAATATATATTTACAATCTTTTATTTATAACAGGTTTGTGTAGATAATTGAGTCACTTTGAAATCATAAATCAATCAATGTTAGACCACAAATTAGAAACTTGGATGTGCACTACTGATGATTTCCATACCAGGAGCAAACGGTCGTCCACTGCTTGCAGGTATCTAACAGTGGTCTAGCACTGATCAATTCATGATTTCAAAATATTTTATTTAGTTTTTTATGAAAGTCATTCACACTGATGTGTGATTATAGCACCTTACAGCTAAACTCTTTCATGTACGTACTTTAAATCCAATTTGTAATGATGATTTTAAATATTTCAGGTTGTTAGCAGCTGACCAGAACCAAATGAAATAAAATGAATCCATCTTGTTCTTGCTCTCTTCAAGATAATAAAAGGATTGTGTATATATTATGTAAACTAATTTGATAATTATTTCTCCTTATCTAGTTTCAAAAACATTCTTAATTGAATCTTAATCCAACCTCTAAATACGAATAATAGTTCTGTCGGTTTGTTTTACTTTGATCACTTTATCTTATCCGTTTTTGTGTGTAATATACGACTGTACAACTCTGAGAGTAAAATTACTGAAAGATCTATTCGTTGAACTACATTCCTTTTTTAAAAAAAAAATTTATGTGAAGATACTACAGATTGTAATTAGTTTATGAGAACTTAAAAAATAAAATGAATTGCATGGTTTTATATTTGGACCACTTCTCTTATTCTTGACATAAATTATCAGGACGTCGTGTGTATGATATTCGTTGAAAAATTATTCAGGAATGAAATCATAGTTATAGATCATTAATGGATTATTTATTCTCTTAATGATGGCTAACTGGTAACCAGTAGTAATAGATAAGTTTGTAACACCTAATTATTAAATCTCAACTACGTCTCTCTCGAAGCTATTTGTTTTCTCATTTTGTGTCACACTACTTATTGATAATCAGTAGTTTGGGTTACTTTGGACCATTTCTGTGGCCAGTTTACTGTAATTTGTTTGTTCGGCCTTGGTTTTATGCCAATCTTCATTTACCTTGAACGACTTGTAGATTTTTAGAAACAATGTCATATTTTTTGTCCAACAGTTACTGACCATCAAGCATACTCAAATTGTGGTTCCCATAGCGTATTTACCACCTCATGATGCAAGGTTTGCAAACAGTGCTTAGTTTGTTTTTAGTAGCTACCATACTTTAAAGTAGATCTTGTCATATGGTTTCGTAAATGTTAATCGTATCGCGATTTTCTTTAAATCTCTGTAGAGATTTTTTAAATAAATAAATACTACGTAAAATCGAATTTTGTAAAGAAGGTTCGTAACAAAATCTCAAAGTTAAGAACTGAATTTGTCTCATTTCCAGTAATATCATCATAACATGTGGATAGGTAGACTAATGCTGTC